TACATTTCAAAGACTGTGTCAACATGTGATTCTGACAGTATGAATGGAGGGCTGGGTTATAAGATCCCCACTAGCTACATCATCTTTAAGAACCATATTTAGTGAAGGGCCACAAATTATTTTTTTTTATGTGAATGTATGCCAGTGTGAATCCCACTGTAGGTGACAAGCAAACAGTATCCCCTTTGGAAAGTGGAATATCAGCTATATCAGTCCAACAGAATTTGTAATCATTCCCTCCTGTACTTAGCATGTAAATCCAATACATATCTCCATAAATCCATACATAAATCCAATACAAATCCAACACATCACTGCCTTACAGATTTCAGAAACTGGCTGCTAGATGCAGGAACTTTACACCTGGATAGATTATATTGCTGTAGCGTGGTGAAATAAGGTCTGAGAAGCTTGGTAGCTGCGGCAGATCTCTCAGATACAACTATCTCTATCTACAGGGAACTAGAAGAATGACTGACTCTGTCTCATTTGACTCTGAAAAACATCCTGGGGATCAACGGATTAATTGAAAGGCATGTGGTAATAATCCCAGACTCATGCCACCTCTGGAACAAAACTTGGTATTGACCTTGGTGAACAGGTCTATCATGGAAAGCACCTGATGAAGCAGTCTCTATGACAGACCTCTACAGCAACCACTCATAACTAGTCAGACTACACAGCAAGCCCACCAAGCTGTTGCTGAAACTCAAGGTGAAAAACCACAGAGGCTGGTCTGAAGACAGAGTTCAAAGACATTTATTATGCCTTCTCTGCTAGGGACCACAGCCCTTGCATTTGTATGTGGTTCAGGTGGGCTCCCCATCCTATATTCCTGATGTGTCAGTGATTAACACTCTCTCAGGAGCAGGGGGGAGAGACTGAGAACTGTATTTCTCCTAATATACTATTAAGATCTGCCACCATCCCAATTCCACCACAACATGAGGTGGTAACATTTTCCTGTCTATTCAATATATTACCAGAGAGTAGCATGACAAACCAGAGATAATAGAAACCACAGGAGAATATGACAAGCAGTGCCTTGTATATGCATGTTGACATATGGCTCAACACTCTAAATCAAGCCAGTATCACTGTAACCAAGTTCGATTTATTTATCTTGAGTAGTAGTAATCACTATGACAGGACTTTGTCCTTGAGATGGTGCACTCTCTCTTATGATCATTTACCATATTTCCCATGAACTCTAAAATCTGTGATAGAGAACTATTGAAAAATCATCTCTCATTCTAAAACACTCATCCAACTAGAGAGTGCATGTTCTAGGTTTACCATCATCTCCTGCTAAGACCTGTCTCTCATCAGCCACTAGGCCAGATAAGGATAGACATGGATACTTGTCTTCTTGGAACACCACTTCCACTGTTAGGCATTTTCTGAAGATTCTTGCTTCTGTAGAGAGTATGAACGGCAGTAGTTTGTGATAGTTGAGATCTGACCCTACTGCGGGCTCAAGTATATTTTGTGAACAGGGTTGATGGCTACATGGAAGTACATATCCTGTAAGTTGAATGCCATGAACTGGAGACACAGAATGCTGGAGGCAAGTGTTACCATATTACATATGAGGCCATGTATGTATTTGTTCAGTCTTTGGCAACTGAACAAAGACCAACCCCCTTTCTTCTTTGGGATATGGGAATATTGGGAACAGAAATCTCTTCTTCTGCATCTTAGAAGTGATACTTCCTTGGCTCCTAGATAAAACAGCAGCTTATTTTCTAACAGGTTCTCATGCAGAGGGAGGGGGAAGAAAGATGGGCAGAGGTAAGTAGAAATTGATATGGCAGCCTTGGGTGATATCTAGCACCCACTTGTTGGCTGGTCTAGTATTCCAAGACCAGGTGGTTCCCAAAGACAGTGGAGCTAAGGATTGGCTCCAGTGTCACTCTCAACATGCTTGTCAAACCTGCTCTAAGACTGCCAGATGTGTGACTGAAGAGATGGACAATGAGCATTTCTTGGAGTACCTGGTTGTCAAGCTTGAGAATAGGTCAGCATCCTCTACTACTTCTGGGACCGGTATTTATGTTTTTCAGGAGGGAACCAGTATTTAAATTCCAAATGACCATAGGAAAATGAAGCACTTTGTTCTGTGGCTAAAGAGCTCCAACTGTTTAAAAGTACAGGTCCATTATGGTAATTTGAACCTCTTTTGGTACATTGGATGCCAGAAGCCATAAGGACTACCTCACCATGATAGCCATGGCCACTGATCTCCAACCCTATGCTGAAATCAGGTGTGTCCACAGCCACTTGCAATGCCAGTCTAGTAACCATTTGACCCTCTGATTTTTTTTTTTTTAATTTTAGTTCCTCACTTTTCTCCTAGGGATCTTCAGAAGGGAATGACTCTTTTCCAAGCGAGGAAGATATTTTGCAAACAGGAACTTTGCAATCTGAAGATGCAATGAAGCAAAAGAATATACTATAAACACAAAACATTCCAATTTCTTGGAGTCTTTACCTTTCGGTGTGCCCTTTGTGCCCCCTGTTTGGATGGGCACTGAATAATTCTAAACCCTTTAGGGGCCCCTTGCATTTCTTTTCCATTCATTTAGATGTTGGACAAAAAGTAGACAGTGTTTGCCAAAATCTCTTTGCCAGCTCCTTGAAAAATAAAAATGATCCTGGATGGAATTGTAGAGCTCAATATATGAAAAAGTTTGGGAAACTTCCATGGATGACTGCGGTTTCAATGTCCAGGATATCCACGATACCCCACAAGGTCCCAGAAAACTTCAGAATTGACTGCTGGTGCTACTGTTTCATCTGGCGACAGGAATGCTTCTTTAGGTGATAAGTAAGATTGCTGTTGTCCCTCAGTTGTCACCTGCTCCTTGATGCAAACCTTTGTTTTTAGAGTGAGTAGCCTGGCTAATGATGCTGCTGGGAAGTAGGAATGACCTTTGCCTCAGTGCATAAGAGGGGGATCTGCTCCAGAACATATCTGACACTGGTCTCCAATATGGCCAAAATAGTCAAGGTGACATACTATAAGGGTGCAGGCCAGGTTAAGGACAGCTACCCAAGTGCTATTCATGGCTTGCCAGAGGTGAGGCAAAGAATTGGTGGCCTCTAGAATTCTCCCTAAGGTCACTCTCCAATAGTAGGGGAGAGAGGTCTCTATTTAACATGAGCATGAATGTGTCATTTGGCAATGGAAATATACTTACTCAAACAGTGGGGCAATAAGAGAGTGGCCTCATCCAAGTGCTAGGAGAGTATGTGCTGGTCACTAATCAGAGAAGTAGATGTCTCCAGTTCCTCATCTTACGTTTAGCTTAAATGCTAGACAGACTTGGCTACCAGTGCTAAAGTCAATAATGAGGTCAGTACCAAGACTTCCTTATCTCTTGCTACATTAGCTGATTAGTTTATCTTGTCCAATTTGAGAGCCATAAGGAATTTGGAAGTTTTGCCGTTACAGAAACGGGGTTTTGATTCCTTTTCGTGAGGTGGTCCAATGTGGTGCTTGGCACAGTGTGTGCGCTCTATCCAGCCTTGCCTCTCAGAGTCTCCCCTTGTGTTAGTAACACACATACGGGACTTGCTCATATGTTGTTGGCTCCCTTTTCAATACATTCTTCGAGGTATCAGTATCAATGTTGTTGGCTCCCTTTTCAATACATTCTTCTCTTCAAAGTCCTGGAGTATGGTATCTACCTGAGGAGTGCTAGCAGATAATTTCTGCGACTAAGGTCTAGTTGTTACCATCTCCTCAGGGTCAGAAATAACCTGCATGGACTACTCTAGCACATGTAACTTGAGCCCAATATCACTGGACTTGTGAATCTGAGGGGAAGACCAGCACACAGAACACCTGTCTGGGATGTGGCTGACTCTCTTCCAAGTGAGAAAGGCACAGACTTCTGTCCATCCATAATTGGGATGAGGCCATCACAAGATCAGAGTTTCAACCCTGATGCTTAGTCTACCATGAAAAGAGGCGACTGCTACAAAGCACCACACCTAGCCATAACAGGGGATGTCTGGCAGGAGAGAAGAGCATTCTTATTGGAATTCTTTTCTTTGGGAGATGAAGGGGGGGATTTCCAACATGAAAAAGTAAATAAAATTAAGTTCTTCACCCAGCTTCTTGAAAAACAGATTCTGAAGCTCCCAAGAGAGTACCAGATTGGACACACCTTAAATTCGATCTCACTATCCCGAGAGCTAAGAGGGAACTGAAGAAATTTCATGGCCACTCTATGCTTTATGCCCCTCATTCAGAAATACATGGATGCACAGGGTTCATAAATGGCCTCCACAGACATGGCTACTCAAAGGAATCTTGTCTCATTAACATGAGGGATACATGCAACTACAGTGGAATCAATACTAACACACTCAAAGAAAAAACACTTTTTCTAACTGCTGAAGGGATGAAGTGAGTGTCCTACTGAAGAAATGCACTTGGTTTGTGAAATCAGGGAAATAATTAATCATCTGCAATAGTCTGCATTTTACAGACATGTCATCAGAAGGGTGAGGTCTCAATGTACTTCAATGCAGAATACAAACTTTGGAAAGTGTTGGTCCTAGTTATATGTGAAAAAATATGTGTTTCAATTATGGCATTAATAAGGTGTTTGGCTTTGTGTACACATATTAATTTACAGAGAGGTTAGAATTTAGCATCCACCACAAAGCCATTTTTACTTTGAAAAGTTACTCGGTGTAATGGCATTTTCCAATTTTTTCCAGTTCAGCAATGCTCAAGCATCTCTATTAAGAGAAATAAAGATACCATAAAGTAACGTATCGTTTATTTATTAGCACTAATTATGACAACTTCACTACCTAAAAATTCAAAGAAGGCTTAACTTATCCTTGCGCAATATGCTGCAATTTTCCCATAAATTTTCAGTTAACCTGTAAAGTTATAATTACATTTTAAAAGTTAAATTAATACTTGAATAACCGAGGAACTATTAGATTGAGCATACACATTTCTGGAGAAGACGTTCAGTTACCTGGGATGGACAAATGAATGTGACTGAGTAACAGGATCTGCTTCCTGCTTTATAACTGGATACCACTGCTGCAAATCTAGGCTTTGCTGAGGATCTGCCTGAAGAAGAAGATAATAAATAAAAAGAATTTGTGGTCCTTTTTACTCATCTTTCAACTTCTAAGAAATCAGCTGTACTAAAGATATTAGTTAAAATGTTATTCAATTATTAATGTCATTTATATGATAAACCCATTTTATTTCAAGCTGGGCAGCATAAGGTGCATGGGGGAGCAGAGAGAGGAGAAAAAGAAACAGAGCAATGAAGAGCAGCAACTTGGGACAAGAAAAGCTACAAGACCTCTAATTTATCCCATTCAACTATGGATGAAGATGAAACTGCATTAATATAAACACAACTTTCACTAATGCAAGTTTAAAATTGGCTCAGAGACAACACAAATGGATTATTTTTCACATCTCAGTAATTGATAATGCTTATGCTGAACTATGGCATGCAAAAAAGACAGAATGGACGTCTACACTGCAAATGAATATACCTTGAATATACAAATATTAACATTGTGATTAAAAAGAAAGCTGCTGTTTATTTGTTTTAGAAATGTATTAAAATATACTCAACTTTAACAATATAAGCTATTAGCTATATCTAGAAAGCAAGAGGGGGAAAGTAGTAATATGGGCTTTATGCCCGAGCCAGGTCTATGTACTGAAAATTTAAAAATCCATTCAAAGATTTCATTGGCTTTCCAAATTTCTGCCAAAAGCATACTATAAGTATATGTAGAAAAGAGAAGTAGAACCTAGGATTGCCAACGGTGGCAAGGACTTGGCCCACGCTGCAATGAAGTGTTCATCTCACTTTACACAGTTGTCACATACTTCATTGCAAAATGAAGTGTACAAAGAAAAAAGCAGCAGAAAATTACTCCAATCACACAGTAGGGGATTTTATTAGTCACAGATTTCTATTTATAGTAGAGGGACAGATTCAACACAACAACATGACTAAACAATGTTATCTTGAAATACTGACATACTTTAGATATCACTAAGAATTGGCATCTTAAAAGACTTCCTCATTTCATATTTTAATAGAAATTTTTGTTCATTCTGTTTTAAGAATATGTAGCCTAACAAACATTCCTTATCAATTTTTGGTAATACTCAATGCTTCACTGTGCAAAAAGCAGTAATACTACTAAAGGACAGTGAGAAACACATGTATTTTAACAACTCAGTGAGACAAATCTGGCGTTTAACCTTACCAAGGGTCCTTGAAAATTGGTATGAGACATTTAAAAATTTCCACACCTGAAGAAAAATAAACTGCTTGTAGAAAGGGTTGTAATTTGCTGCTCCTCTTCCCCCTGATTTGTTAACTTTCCAACTACACTTCAAACGCCATACTCCCCTCCCCCCCTTTGTTAAGGCCATGGAAGAGGGCATGGGCTGAGATAGGATTACCCCATATACATCTTTTGTTCATACTTAAATTGAAAATTTTAATTTATGTAGTAGGCACTTAGAGCATTCAATAGGTACCTAGAGTTTATTTTAAAGTAGTAGTAGTAGTAGTAATAGCATCAGTTAAACATTCCTAAAAAGGCTCAAAGGGGTAGCTATGTTAGTCTGTAACTTCAAAAAACAATGAGTAGTCCTGTGACACCTTAGGGAACATCTACACTGCAGGGCAAAAGTTGAATTCAAATATGCAACTTCAACTACATCAATTGCGTAGCTGAAGTAGAAATAGCTTAATTCAGCTTTTGGCACTGTCTACACAGCAGGAAGTCCAAGGAAGAACACTCTT